GCAAATGCGCGCATATCGAAGTAACTGTGATATGACAACACCTTCTTGTACCGTGTGGTTCATATCACTATCAGGATGCCCACCGTAATTAACTTTGAATGGGTAGTCCAGGCTTTTGTTATATACGTTAAAAATGCATCTGCCATTTTGGCATAGAATTTCGAGGTCTAAGAAAAAGCTCGTTGCCCGGAGTAAGTGGTGTTGAGTTGTAGGCTAGGTCCAAATATGAAACTCGTCCAGGCTATCAGTGCGGGTATTTTCTGCTGGCGTTGTTATTGGTATACTCCCACAGATCGGCGCAGTTTTCTCAGGTCCTCGATCCTAAGTTACGTACCTTCAGTTTTTATCCAACATCTGATTGATGTAATGAGCAGCAACACACTGAAAAATGCGACAAAAAAAGCCTGGAGGCCAAGTAATTAAGGAAAACTCAAGATAAGCAACACAGTAAGATATCTGCCTTTTTGCTGGCTCTAAGTTCAAATGTAGATGCTTAATGCGAATGATTACAGTATTCGGATCTGCTCCGTATTTATGACAAGAATGGTTTTCCGCCGGACTCAAATTATCTTTTTTTGGGCGATTTCGTTGACCGTGGCAAGCAAAACATCGAAACGATATGCCTTCAATTTTGTTATAAGATCAAATACCCGGAAAATTTCTTCATGCTTAGAGGTCGGCACCGCCGAGCAATTAAAATTCCTTGCTTTTTAATATTTCAGTATTTATTAAGCTTTAAAAACTTACGATCAAATCTACTGCAAAATCATAGTTTTTTTCAAATCTTTACATCGACAAAAAGCAACCTTTTCTTTCGGAACATTTTGCAACATGAAATTTCAGAAGAAATTTTTCGCATGAAAAAGTTAATTATGAAAAATATCAAATACGAAAAAAGGAGCCAAAACTCAGCAGCGAGTAGAGGAATGAAAAATTGATCATGAAAAAAAGAACTGCTTATGAGGAAAATTTATGACAGAAAAAGCGAAAAACAGGAATGGGGCAAAAAAGAAAAAGTAAATGTGAGAAAACAAATTCAAGCTCATTTCATTCATCAAGACAGTTAAGCTCGATAAATCAGGATGAAGTAAAACGATTAAAAAGAATTTATTCCCGGAACTTTTTTTGGATAACTTATTTTTGATAACCGATAACGACAATTTTTCGGCCTCCTTTCAAAAACGAATTTTATATTTTTTTCCTTATAATTGAGTTTTTTGTGTGGAAAAGTTTCTTTGAAAGTGTGTGCTGTTTTCAAATCACGACTTCGCATGAGTATTCGTTGTTCGTATTTTTAAGCACAAGAATTTCTGCTTTCCAGTTGTTCATAATTTCTGCGCTCCAGTTCACTTAATTTCTGGCTTAGTGCTAGTCCCGAACGATTTTCCCCCCAAATCTTAATGGATATAATTCATAATTTACTTTAGGAAGAAATGCTGAATGATGAGCCATTCAGAAAATTTGCTTGCTTCTACGAAATGACGGAATAATTTTCTATTCTGCTGAGTAAAATGCCACTTTTTATGTTTAGGGAATCATGAGACATCAG